AATTGGGTAAGGCATTTGTCTCCTAACCAGAAGGTTGGTGTGGCTTAAACCCACCAGCTGCTTCATGGGAAGAAGATGAGGCAATGTACTTCCATAAAGATTCCATAAAGCCTTGGAAACTTAGTGGAGATCACTATGAGCTGGAATTGATTCATTGGTAGTGAGTTTGTTTTTTAGTTCGTGGTTATAATTCCATTTGGAATGGGTTGTCTTTGTTATGTTAATATGGCAGTATTAGCATAGAAAACCAAACCAAACTCGCTGTCATGGAGTCAATTCCAACTCACAGCAACACCCTTTGGGTTTCTGAGACAGTAAATCTTTACTTAAGTAGATTGTCCAGTCTTCCTTCCACAGAGTGGCTGATGGGTTTGAACCGCCAACCTTGTGGTTAGCAGTCAAATGCCTTAGGTTTTAAATCAATCTCTTTTGAGTTACAAAAAAGCAGATTAAGCAAGCAAGCAGACATGGTGTTTTGGTTTTCTGTTGTTGTTGTTAGGTGTCATTGAGTTGACTCTGACTCACAGTGACCCTATGTACAACAGAACGGTACACTGCCCGATCCTGTGCCAGCCTCACAATCATTGCTATAGCTGAACCCATTGTTGCAGCCACTGTATCAGTCCATCTCATTGAGAACCTTCCCCTTTGTCACTGACCCTCCACTTTACCAAGCATATATCTTTCTCTGGGGAATGGTCCCTTCTGACAGCATGACCAAAGTAAGTGAAATGCATTCCGGCCATTCTGGCCTCCAAGGAGCATTCCAGCTGCACTTCTGCCAGGACAGATTTGTTAGTTCTTCTGGCAGTCCATGGTATTTTCAGTATTCTTCACCAACACCATAATTCAAAGGCATCAACTCTTCTTTGGTCTTCCTTATTCACTGTTCAGCTTTCCCATGCATATGAGGTGATTGAAAGTACCATGGTTTGGGTCAGGCACACCTAATCTTCAAAGTGACATCTTTGCTCTTTAACACTTTAAAGAGGCCTTTGCAGTAGATTTGCTCAGTGTAATACAATGTCTGATTTCTTGGCTGCTGCTTCCATGTGTGTTGATTGTGAATCCAAATAATATGAAATCTTTTGACAACTTCAATCTTTTCTCCATTTATCATGATGCTGGTCCTTGGTCTAGTTGTGAGGATTTTTGTTTTCTTTATGTTGAGGTGTAATCCATACTGAAAATTGGTCTTTGATCTTCATCAGTATTGCTTTAAGTTTTCTTCACTTTCAACAAGCAAGCTTGTGTCATCTACATATCTCACACTGTAAATGAATCTTCCTCCAATCCTGATGCTGCACTCTTCTTCATATACTATAGCTTTTCGGATCATTAGTTCATCAGCATACAGATTGAATAAGTGTGGTGAAAGGACATAATCCTGACACATAACCTTCCTGATTTTAAACCATACAGTATTCTCTTGTTCTGTTCAAATGACAGCCTCTTGGTCTATGTACAGGTTCCTCATTAGCATAATTAAATGTTCTGGAATTCCCATCCCTTGTAAGGTTATCAATAATTTGTTATGATCTGCACAAATGCCTTTTCATAGTCAGTAAAACACAAGTAAACCTCTTGCTGGTATTCTTTGTTCTCAGCCAACATCCATCTGACATCAGCAATGATATCCCTCATTCCAGATCCTCTTCTGAACCAGCTTGCATTTCTGGAAGTTCCCTGTCAATATACCACTGCAACTGTTTTTTAACTTTTTCAGCAAAATTTTACTTGCATGTGATATTATTTGATAATTTCCACATTCTGTTGGACCACTTTTCTTTGGAATGGGCACAAATACCAATCTCCTCCTGTCAGTTGGCCAGGTCTCCCAAATTACTTGGCATAGATAATAAGTGCCTCCAGCAATGCAGCTGTTTGTTGAAACATCTCAATAGGTATTCCACCAATTCCTGGACCCTTGTTTTTTCCCTATTCCTTCAGTGCAGCTTGGAATTCTTCCTTTGATACCATTGGTTCTTGATCATATGCCACCTCCTTAAATAGTTGAACATCAACCAATTCTTTTTTTGTACAGTGACTGTGTATTCTTCCATTTTATCAGGTGCTTCCTCCATCATTCATTATTTTGTCCATTGAATCTTTTGATACTGCAACTCAAGACTTGAATATTTTCCTTCAGTTCTTTCAGCTTGAGAAATTCTGAGCATGTTCTTCCCTTTTGGTTTTCTAACTCCAGGCCTTTGCACATTTCATTATAATACTTTGTCTGCTCGAGCTGCTCTTTGAAATCTGTTCAGCTCTTTTGTCATTTCTTCCATTCTCTTTAGCTACTCCTTGTTCAAGAGCAAGTTTCAGTATCTCTTCTGACATCCATTTTGGTCTTTTCTACACTTCTTGTCTTTTTCTTGCCTTTAGCTTTCTTCGTGTATAATGTTCTTCATGTCATCCCAGAGCTTGCCTGGTTTTTGGTCATTGGTGTTCAGTGCATGAAATCTATTCTTCAGATTCTGGATTACTTATAGTCTAAAGAATTTTATTGTTGTTTTAAGCTGGCGGTTAGTTTGGTTGGCTTTGACAAACTGATGCTAGGATGGCAGCTCAAATTTCAGTTAAGTTATTCTATCTTTAACTAGGATGCTTGGAGTCCTCCTGGTGCGTGTGTAGTTCAGGGCTCAGCCTCAGATTTGGACAGAGTTTATATGCAGTATTTGAGGCTCCCTCTCTCTGGTTCTTTCCTATTCAGGATTTCCTTATCATTTTCTGGCAGTTGTAATTGTCCTAAACTCTGTCTTCTGAGTCTTCAGGCCAGAAAGACTCAGTTTTCTACTAGAGTGTTTTTGTTTGTTTAAATTAAGCTTTTGTTGTGATTTGGGTGAAAGTTCACAGAGTAAATTGGTTTTCCATTTAACAGTTCATACATGTTTTGTTTCATGACATTGATTGCAAGCTCCACAGTGTTAACATCATTCTTCCCACTTCCTCTCTGTGGTTACTCTTTCCCTTTGCCTTTCTTTCCTACCCATTCCTGCCTTCTGAGCTTTATCCCTGGTCAAACGTTGGCCTTTTGATCTTATATGGTTGATTGTTCTAAGAAGTACATATCTTCCTGAGTGTTACTGTTCACCTCATAGTTCTGTCTATCATTTGACTGAAAGTTGAGCCACAGGACTGAGTTCAGTTCTGGGCCTGAAAGGTGACTAAGGAGCATAGTCTTGGGGGTCCCACCATTCTCTATCAGACCAGTAAGCCTGGCTTTTTTTCTTTTTTTTTTTTTTGAGCTTTGTTCTACATTTTTCTCCCAATCTATCCAGGATATCCTATTATGATCCCTTGCAGAGTGCTTGGCAGTGGTAACTGGGCATCATCTAGTTCTTCTGTTCTCAGGGTATAGAGGCTGAGTTTCACATGGTCCACTAGTTTCTTGGACTAATTGTTTCCACTTATCTTTTATTTTCTTCACTCTTCTTTGCTCCAGATGAGGAGAAACTAACAGTTGCACCTTAGATGGCCACTTATAAGCTTTAAGACCCCAGTCGCTACTCACCAAAGTAGGATGTAGAACAATGTCTTTGTGGACTGTATTATGCCAATTGATCTTGATGCACCTTCCAACTATGGTCCTGAGCTCATAAGCCCAGCAACCCACTGCCTCAAGATGTTTGGTTGTGGGTAAGAGATTTTCATATCTTTGCCCCCATTAGTTCTACTGTATACATGACATTTTTACAGCTCATACATATACTTACGTAGAAATATCATCTGACAAACCTATATATGGTCATGGGTACAGTCTTGTTCAGCTACCCATCCCTGATCATCTTGCCTGTCTACCTATGTATCCACTCATTGATTAATATTTGCTATTGTTGATAATGCAGTAATATGTATGTAATTGTGTTTACCTTTGTTGTCTGTACCTTTTGTTCGCCTCTCTGTGTCTTTCTTTTCCTTAGTGATAGTGTGCTGGGCACTCACTATTTGTATATTGCCTTTCCCTTCACCCATATTAATATGTGTCTCTTACCTACTTAGTAATTTTCCCTCCCTTACCCTTCCATACCAGGTAACCATCAAAGAATGTTTCTTTCCATGTGGGTTTCTATAATAGTGGACTTATAAATTTTCTTTTGTAATTAACTTATTTGACTTAGCATAATGTCCTTCAGTTCATCCATGTTATGAGGTATTTCATGATTCTTCACTATAATGAAGAATCCATTATACTTTATTGTTGCAAAGTATTCCGTTGTGTGTATGTACCATGGTTTGTTTATTAGTTCATCCATTGATGGTCACTTAGGTTGTTTCCATCTCTTCACTATTGTGAATAGTACTACAATGAACATGGGCATGCATGTATCTCTCCGTGTCCCAGCTCTCACTTCTTTAGGACATACACCTAGGAGTGGGGCTGCTGGATTGAATGGTATTTCTATTTCCGGCATTTTAAGGAAGTAACATACTGTTTTCCACAGTGGCTGCACCACTTTACAGCCCCGCCAACACTGTATGAGAGTTCTAATCTCTCCACACTCTTGCTAACAGTGTTGTTCTCTGACTTGTTAGACTTTGCTATCATTGCTGGGGTCTATTAGAGTTTTTTCTGTCATTCATAGTGCACACTGGAGCCTGCGCTCAGACTTAAGACTATTTTAAAATAAACACAAATATAAAACTAAGAACTGATCCCATGCTGTCTCTTCATTCCAAGTATTAGTTCTTCTCTAGATCTGCCTGTTTTTCTTCACTCTCTAGTGCCTTCACATAGTTCTGGGTTTGTGGTTGTTTTGTTTTTAATATTAATACTGTTTTGTTTTCAATATTAATCCTGTCCAGAGTTTAATCTTAAAGGAACTTAGTCTGATAGAAACTTACTTGGCCATTACAGAAATAGACTAAATGTTTATTTGTTTAAGGAAATAATAATATGATGATGCTAATAAATTATTTCAAAGGATTAATAATATAATGATATAAAAAAATTAACTATTTTGAAATAATCTACTTGGATCTCTTTTGTATTGTTTTAGGAAGAAATCTAATGAAGCTGATGACTGTCAAAGAAAACTTAGGAAGCTGAAGTTTGAATCCATTATTTCTGAGTCACGGTATAAATTGCAAATTTTTTTAATTAAAAATTTAATCATTGAACTTTAAATATTTTATTTAAAATATACTTTACTTTTCTTCTTGCATTATACCTAATTTGAGTTTGTAATATCTTGTAGTTTTTTTGTGGATTTTGCCTCATGCCTAAATAGGAAAATTTAACATCGCAGAATTATCTACTTTCTTAACATATTTAATTTTAAAAAATTTAAAGTAATACTCTATAATTTCAAGTGGCCTTTTCATTTATCTTTGATAAACATAAAAATATCATATCTAACACTCAATGGTGTTTTGTTTTGTTTAATTCTCTTTTAGTAACACTAGACTGTTAAAAGAAAAAGAAGACTCTTTAACAGCTTGTCAACAGACATGTAAAACTTTACAGGAACAACTGACTACAAAAGAAAGGCAAGAAGAAGACATAAAAAGAAGAATTAATCTTGCAGAAAATGAACTTGAAATAACAAAAACTCTTTTGAATCAGACAAAGGAAGAGGTTGTAACACTAAAAAATGAAAGGTACAGTCAAAAATAACTTCTTACAAAATATTTTTAATTCACTATTCCATATATAAGAAGCTTTAGTGATACAACTGGTTAAGTGCTCAGCTGCTAACCGAAAGATCAGCCATTTGAACCCACCAGCTGCTCCACAAGAGAAAGATGAGGCAGTCTGTTTCTGTAAAGATTTTTGTTGTTATGTGCTATCGAGTCGGACCTGACTCATAGCGATCCCTCCTTGGGTTTCCAAGGCGTTATCACTGCAGAAGTAGATTGCCCAACCTTCCTTCCGAGGAGTGGGTGGTGGGTTTGAACCACCAGCCTTCTGGTTAGCAGTCAAGTGCCTTAGACACTATGCTACCAGAACTCCTAAGAGACGAAACCCCCACCCCGTGGCACCTGGCTGGAATGGCTAGTGGGTTTGAACTGCCAGCTTTGGGTGTGGCAAGTGACTGCCTTAGGCCTGAGGCCATCCAAGGAAAGCCTGTGGAGCAGTTCTCCCCTGTCAGTATAAGTTGGCATTGACTCAATGGCAATGGGTTTGGATTCCATACATATTTGAAATATCAAGATCCTATATTATAATAATAATAGAACCACAAGACTAAAAAAGTATTTCTCATGAGAGTTTATGACATCCCACCACCTTATATCTCAGATGATTAAACTGAAGCCCACTGAGGTTAAATGACTGGCTTAAAGTCACACAACTAGTTAGTAACAGGAGAAATGGAACCCAAATTATACTTTGTATTAGATTTTTATTAAAAAGAATCAAAATAGACTATGTGTAGTACTTGTATTACTTACTGAATTTCACCTGGGCCAGTGATTGGTGGAATTCTATAATTTTCCAACAAAACCAACACATTTTTTAAAAAATTATTTTCCCCTTTTATTGGTTATCTGAGCAGTTAATATTTTATCTAGAGTGCCTCATTTCCAGTGATGCCAGATTAATTAGGCTTAACTATCTACCTAGATGAATATGAAGACCACTTCTTCACAGTGGTCATTGAGAAGATGCTACCTTTGTTTAAATGTTTTGGAACTCTTCTTTGAAGACTGGCTTAAGTGACCATTCTTTAGAATAACCTCACCATGACAAATCTTTGTCCTTTGGGAATGGATTTAAATTTTTAAACAATCTCATATAGGTCCAGTGAAAATGAGTCCAGTGAATATGATGGGAAATTAATCTGAGGAATACCAGTTGAAATAAAAAATAAAGTAAAATGTTTTCTTCTTTCTATGCTTAATAAACTATCTCTGGCTGCAATTTGAAGAGGGAAGTTTTATGAATGTTTTGAGGATTAGCAACATAATTAAAATAAATAAAAGATGTTGCTGTGAAATAGCATACCCACTTGATTGTATATTTTTTGCCATCTTTTTTTTTTTTTTACTTTCATGTGATTATAATCATACCTTCTATTATAAAGATTGAATGAGGATAATTTCTATAAGCTTTTAGAAAATAGAGACATCCCTGAACTCTTTCTTTCTCTCAATTTGCTCTCTCCTTTTCTTCTGTCTTTGTCCTTTTCTAAAATTTTTTGTTGTCTGTGTTTTAGTCTATACAGAAGCAAGCATGATATTACCTAACCATTTTGTGACACTAAGTTTATTGACATGATATTTGTCACATAATAAAAGCAAAAATGTGCTTCTGTACCAACAAATTGGTGCTATATACTGAGCAAATAATCTGAGAAGCTGGACTATATGAAGAGGAACGTGGCCATCAGGGTTGGAGGGAGACTTATTAACAATCTGCAATATGCAGATAACACAACTTTGCTTGCTGAAAGTGAAGATGACTTGAAGCACTTACTGATGAAGATTAATGACTACAGTCTGCAGTGTGGATTACACCTCAACATAAAGAAAATGAAAATCCTCACAACTGGACCAATAAGCAGCATCACAATAAATGGAGAAAACATTGAATTTGTCAGAGATTTCATATTACTTGTTTCCACAATCAAAACCAGTGGAAACAACAGCCAAGAAATCAGAGGAGGTATTTCACTGGGCAAATTGGCTGCAAAAGACCTCTTTAAAGTGCTGAAGAGCAAAGATGTCTCTTTGAAGGCTAAGGTGTGCCTAACCCAAGCCATGGTATTTTCAATCACCTCATATGCATGTGAAAGCTGGACAATGAATGAGGAAGACCAAAGAAGAGTTCATGCTTTTGAGTTGTGATGTTGGCAAGGACTACTGAAAGTACCAGGGACTACTAGAAGAACTAACAAATCTGTCCTGGACAAAGGGCAGCCAGCATGCTCCTTGGAAGAGGGAATGGCCAGACTTTGTCTCACCTACTTTAGTCATAATGTCAGAGAGAATTATTCCCTGGGGAAGGACATCATGCTTGGTAAAGTGGAGGGTCAATGAAAAAGGGGAAGGCCCTCAACAAGATGGACTGACACAGTGGCTGCAACGGTGGGCTCAGGTATAGCAAGGATTGTGAGGCTGGTGCGGGACTAGGCAGTGTTTCTTTCTGTTGTACACAGGGTCGCTGTGAGTCAGAGCTGATTCAACAGCACCTAACAACAACAACCAACAACGAATTATCATATAATCATAGAATTTCTCCTAAGCATAAGCATTATCTTCTTCTTTGTCCTAAGCTACTTTCAGATTGTATCCACCTTGTCCTCTACTGTATCTCCAGGGCCCAGCACATGTATCCACTCAATAAATATCTGTTAAATGAATAAATGAATGACTTGCTTTGGATAATTCAATCAGACAACAATTATTTGCTGAGCATTTACTATATGTCAGGTACTGATTAAACAGTCAGTTACTAAGTGGAAAGTTGGAGGTTCAACTTTACTTAAAGGCATTTCAGAAGAAAGACCTGGTGATCTACTTTAGAAAGATCACAGCCATTGAAAACCCTACTCTGAAACACATGGGGTAGCTGTGAATCAGTTTGATTTTAGTACACTCAGAGAATCTGAGGTAGTCCCTGTCTAGAGCTTGTATTCTAATAGAAGAGATAAACTGTTTGGGGAAAAGAAAAAAAAAAAACTAGAAAACTAACTAGAATAGTTACAGATTTTGATAATGGATATGAAGTAAGTAAAAGGGTATTGTAGAGACTGATAGAAGGAATGCTACTTTGAATAGGGTGGTCGTAAAAATGACTTCCAAAGTGATACATAAAGGAAGACAAGTGAAAGTTACCATATCAAGTGTCAGAGAAGAGCTTTACAAGCAAAGAATGAGCTTGATGGGTTCCAAGAAATGACATGAGGGCAAAGGGACTAGAGGCACAGCCACTGTGCATGGAAGAAGCAAGGCCAAATCACTCAGGGCCTCGCAGGCCTTTAGGAGTTTGGGCATTATTTCAGTGGAATGAGAAAAAAACATTGAAGGGATTTAACAAGAGCGGTGACACTGTGGAAGGATGGCTCTGGCTGCTGGGTGGAGAAGGTATTGGCAGTGGGCAAGTTAGGCCATGTATTTTTTTGATATCACAGGATTTTATTTATAGTTAAGCCTAAGAGATGTGAGAAAAATGAACATCTCTAGCTCCTACCCCCTGCTAGTTTCTCTTGGGTTATTTAAGTGTCTTACCCAAATGGATGGTAGCAAAATAGCCAGGGCTTACTCTATGATGAGCCAAAAGGAATATATTAAAGCCAGGTTAAAAAGACATCCTGGAGAACAAATGACATTTTAGACACTTTTGATATTACTGTCCAAACCTGCCTTGAAACTTTGTCTTCCTTTGGCTTCAGGCACAATATGTTATCCAGTTCCTTGCCTGTTGCTATTTTGGCTCTTTCCTGGTCCCTTCTGCCATTATCCGGAGCTCTGGTGGCATAGTGCCTAAGGCATTTGACTGCTAACCAGAAGGCTGGTGGTTCAAGCCCACCAGCCACTCCCAGGAAGGAAGGCTGGGCAGTCTACTTCCTTAGTGATACCGCCTTGGAAACCCAAGGAGGGGTCGCTATGAGTCGGATCCGACTTGACGGCAGTGAGTTTGGTTTGGTTTTTTGGTTTCTGCCATTATCTGACAGCAGTCACCTTAAGGTTTATGGGTGAACTTTGCTTTCCTCTCCCCACTTTTTTTTTTTTTTTTAAGTATACTGACATGGCTCTCAACTGAGTGAGTTTGCTCTTAAAGCTTCTAATCAAGAAGCACCCAAGCAACCTCTGAAGATAGGTACCCTTAAGCAGATAGATGTGTAGAAATCCCTTCACAAGAAGCTGGGCTCAAAAAAAAAAACTTCTAAAACACTGATCCTTGGCTACCCCCCGAGATTCTAGTTCAGTAGGTCTAGGTAGAGCTCAGGAATCTGCTATACAACAGGGTCACAAACCACTGACATGGGCGTGCTCTAACCACCCAAGCCTCCGGGGCTGCTCACCAGAAGCCAGAGCCCGGCTCATTCCAGTAGCAGTGTGTGTGTCTGTAAATCCAGGCAGCCTGATACACAGGCTGCCCCTCCTCTCCAGACCTCCCCACCGCAGAGCCCTTGCTGCGGTTGTCATTGGGACTGTTATGAAAACTGAACAACTTAATTGAGAAGCTATGTTGTTTCAGAAAAGGAGAAAGAGAATATATAAAAAGTCAGAACTGATGCTAGAAAGACTGACAGAATTTCTGGATTTGGAACAGTGAAGAAAGTTAGTGACTAGGAGAGATGCCATACATTACTACTAATCTATTTAATTATTAAACCTTGTTTTCTTATTCCCCCCTCCCTTATCTCCACACACCCTGCCCCTGTCCCCCAACTAAAGAAATTCTATTTAGGAGAGAAGAGACTTCTAGGAAGGGAAGTAGGTCCTTTGGGATCATGAGATATAAAGTAGAGAAGATCTGGCCAGCTTGGTCACAGACACCTTGGAACTGATGACGAGAGGGCTTTTGTGGAGGGGGAGGAATGCAAGAAGGCTTAAGGGCAGTGCCAGAGAAATACGTGGCTGTTTTTAAATTCTGTGTAAAGAAAGCACTCAGTTCTCATGCTTCTGGGCCACAGGTCTCTGCGACCAAGCCC